TTAGTTGATTTTACTGTTAACTAGTTGTCTTTAAAATGTTTTAGTAAACTAGGATGGAGCTAACTGACTCTTCAATTTTAAAGTCAATTGAATTTTAGAGTAAACTCCTACATATCTACTTTCAACATTTTTACCTTTCGACCAAAGTAGGGTAAACCACTAATGGACACAAATATCAAGTTTCGTCCGACAGAGCATCGAAGAAGTTTACAACAAGTCCATGAATAAATGTAGCGTAGAATCACTCAAACATGATGGTGACTTCAGTTAAGTCTTCTAGACACTAGTATTGGTGAGATAAAAATATGCATACCTTTTCGTATTTACTGAATTTCTTCTTGTAATATTCCTGTGCTAAAGAGTAAATATAAATAACATTAATCTGTATTGAGTCATGTACAAGAGGAATGAAACTGCTGCCGATGCTTCCAGCTACGATTAAAATCACTCCTTTAGTTGTGCCCAAATTTCGTACATACTCTTCACATTCATCATCATTATTAAACGGTGTAAAGAAATTCGTGATTAGCTTTAACTTTGTTTGCAATTCAATATTATCTTGGTTATCGTGAACTTGCATATCTAACCAAATAATTGGCATTTTATATGAATCTTTTGGTACATCTTCGTTAGAAAGCATTTGTTCATCAGTTACTTGCTGATCAACACCACCTGCCTTTCCTCTGATAGATTGTTTTTCTTTTTCCAGTGCTTCTAATTGGTCAGTTTTACTTTGCCTACATTGAGCAGCCTCTTTGCTTGATATCACAATACGATGGTTTACATGTAATACCTGATTTTGTGTTGTTTCCATCCCAATTATAGGCTGATTTCTTGGGCCAGGTGCTGTACTTGTAAGATGAGTTGTATTTTTGTCCATCACAATCGATGATTGTCCCGATTCCAATATTCCAGGTTCTATTGACCTTGATGGTGTTGCTGGGTTTATTTGGTTCTGTCGTGGTTGGCTGTTTTCAACGCCCATTGTCTTTGGTTGTCAACACAACGCTTGTATAAAAATAAATCTGAAAACAATAGCAAGAACCAACTAATAAATTAACTATATATCAATAACAAAGATGTGATTGCCAGTTTAGTTCTTTATCTAGATGATTGTATTTAAATTAAGAAATTACCAAGTAAAATAACAGTAGCTATGAATTGTTGGTGCTAGTAGTTAGTTTTAGGAACAGTTTTTCCAGTGTCAAATAATGTAAGTTTATTGATTGGGGATAGAGATAGTAACCGGTTATATCTGAATTTTAAACATCAATAAAGTGAATTGGTTTTATCTGTTTCAGTGCCCCAAAATTTTCCTTATAATGACGGAAATGTTACAAACCAGATAATACATCCTATTCCGCAATGTTGAAAATTCCGCAACCAGTTCCGCTCACAGAACCAATTCCAACTAATTCCGGAATTCGCGGAATTTCTTTGAACACGTTTCAGAAATTCAGTGCGCATGCACTGACACCCACACCCACGCCCAGTAGAGAGCTCATGTCGATATAGCAAATAGCAAGTTCATTAAAACTACGGATCTCTGCATTACTATTTGCATGGAATCAAGTTCAGGTTTTCATGTTTACAGATTCGCTTGAATTCGACGAGTTATAACTCGCATAGAACTACCAATAATTGATTTTGATCACACTCTCTTCAGAGTGAAATCATTTTCAAATCGGCGTTTTCTCGAAATCAAGCATTTTCGTTTCGAAAAAACTGCTTCTGTAAAAAACGTGATGAAAATTTTATAATTCCACTGAATTGATAAACAGAAAAACTTGATCTAAATCGCACGTATAAAAGTAATTCGTTGACGATCTATATTAATGTACTCAGTGGTAGTTCGCTGATTTTCGAAATAACATTTGCTGTTAACTAAAACCATATAAATTTATTTTAATCAGATCATATTAAAAAGTTGCCTCACAAGTGAACCTCTCACAAATAGCCCTCATAAAGTGGCAGGTGGCTGGAAGAGTTTCCTCTCCAAATATTACACAAATCTTAAAAACTTTAAGGTCTTTCACTTCTAGAACTGAACCTGAGTGATGCTCACGTAGTAGCTTTTCTATATTCTGTCTATCGTTTGAAACACTTCTTTATTACAGTAATTAATATTGATTTTCATCCCTTTTTACTTTAAAAGTAATAATATTAGTGAGTGGTAAATTAATATGAAAATGCTTCGTCTCTGGCTAACGATAAAGAATATAACATCCACGTAAGTAATACAAATATAGGAAAACACGTAAGTATAAAATTCCACTAATCACAAGAGTGATGAGAATGATGTGTAACTGCCTAGGTATTCTAAGAAAATTTTGAAGAATTCAGTACTATTTTCACAACTCCAACAGGTGTTTCTTTTAAAATAAACAGTAGTGAAACCAGCAAATATATTAATCCAAATACCCAAAGAAAACAGAATTCACAAACATTCTGATGAAAAAAAATTCTACGGTACCAGTTCTTGCCACGTACCATTATTTAACTTGATTTCTCAAAAATGTTTTTCAAGCTGTCGCGTTTGTAATCACTAATGCGCGGCCTTATATTAAATGGTTATTTCGACTTTTTGATCTGCCCAATGATTTGTTACTTCTAAAAGCTGTTTTGGATTGTTTGTTTCGAATTTGTACTGGTCGTTCTCGTTTTTCTCACTCCTTTTTATGCCTTTGATAACAGTTGCCCAATATTCTTGGGCAATGCTTTCTTCCCGTAGCATGTCATCGCGACTTTGGAATTCGTTTCGTTCGATACTACCTGTAAGAAAATACAGAGAACATATAATTTAGAAGCATGAAGTGGATATCCCCAGACCAGAAACATTATTTCGATAACTTGGAGGTTGCTCATTATTGGCACAACATGGTGCAAGCGTGCATCTTTTATTATATGAATCTAGAAAAAGAGACAAGACATTTACTTTAAAAATCTTAAAACATCTGTCTACCTTCAGCAGTTTTCACATTGAAGCTCATTGCAATACCCTTCGTAGAACAACTTGTGAACAGAAGACTCATGTTTGCATGTGGTAGGTCCTCATAATTAACATAATATTGATTCCGTATTGTGCTGTATGGGTTTCCGTCTTTCGGTGAAAATCGTATGGCCAAATACTGTCCCTCATTTATTTTTATGTTGGTATCAAATTTTTGAATCCCTTTTTCTTTTTTAATTTTAGGAGCGGTCGTAGGACCAGCAATATTTAAATCAGGGTCTTTTGTGACCAAATGCTCGTGATGAACTATTCTAAACCAGTTAGAGTTTGAAGCACTGGTTGGATCCATGATAACAAACAACCGAATGTCTGGATCATCAGTAGATGGAGCAGTCGAAAAGTTGATAAAAACCTGATTAACTATGCCGCCCATTCTTACTCGATCCATTGCGTTAAATGAAATGATATTATACATATTTGAATCAAGCCCACTACTATCGTCAAGTGAACCATGTAGATTATCTAAATTAACAAGCATAAAATCAGATTAACAATGATCCAGTAACAAAAACAGGTCTTGTTACTGTTTAATAACTGCTTATTGGATTTCAGATAATTAATGTATCGCCAACCGTATTCAAATAGATTGAAAGGTGGTGGAAATGGAGATTTTCTTGCATATTCATTGACGAGTAGGAATCGGTGAAATGCCCAAGACATGTGTGCATTATCTTTAACTTTTTTAAGTGTGACACTGAAAGAGACTAAATCTCCGTAGCAAAGAACTCTATTCTAGAAAGCTATCCTACTTGAATAGAGCAACCAGCACATTCAAAAGAAGGACATTTGCTATGCAAACAAAAAGAATCGTCAATATGAATACAGTTGTGCCATAAACACCGTTGTCCACTAAAAGAACTCTTATGTGCAATTCATCAGCAGAAACAAGTAGTTCATGCTTTATCATACCATTTAAAACACTTCCATCCACTTGCGTATTCGACAATATCGAAACTTGCCCGTACACTTTCCACATTCCCCAGTCGATAACATTCCGAATAATTGTCCAACTCCATATGCCATGACCATCTTGTTTAAGTTCGTAGGTATGAGTCGAATTTTTCTGAGTTCCTGAGTTCCAAAACACTTGTTCATTTGTAGTGATGAGAGAATAAGAAGCAACGGAGTAACCGATCAAAAAGATTAGAACAAAGCAGATGAAGAATAATAGGTCTTTTATCTAGCGAATCAATAAATTAATTTGGGAACTAGATTTCCAAAAACTAAGAAAATGATTTTACCGTATTAAATATCATAAGTAACTTTGTACCTAATCGTTCTGATGCTATGAATAGATGTAGAATACGTATATACCAAAGAAACAAATCAATGCACATGAGAACTCTATAAAAGATGATAGAAAAATAACAGAAGTGTTGTTATTTTAAGGAAAATTCTATAAAATCACTTTGAGGTAGTAAAAGCTGCCTCAGTTGGGATCCATCGTGGAATGAAACCAGCAAGATAAAGAAAAATTGCTGCCAAATCGAGGATGTTCCATTTGTCCATAGTAAAATATTTTTGCGGAGCCCAATCAATATTACATGATCGTTTTTCGATATAGTATAATCGAAACTTTATCGAAAAAAAGAAAAATCACTATAGTGATTAAAAAACTGAATTATAGTGTATAAAGACCTCGATACATTCTTCAATGATAATAGACCACATACAAATATGCAGGATAATCTCCGTCACAGGTATTAATATTGCATATTGATTTCTTAGACCTCCATTGTTGTTTATTGGAAAATAGTCAACCAACATGATGAAACTGAATAGTCCAAGAAAAGCAACATAGAATAACTATAAAAAAATTGAATTCGATACATAAATTATTTACATTCGAGATGACCAAAGAATCATTTATTGCATACGTACGATATTATATATGAATCGAACGATTGCCCGCTGTGTAAAAAATCTAGTAAAACAATTATCCTTGATATTGAATGACCTAAAATGAACAGTATTTTGATTGTAGGTAAAGAAAACTAGCATCTATAGAGACTTACAAATTGTCTTCTTTTCTCAGTTCCAAGATGTTCGACTTCCACGCAATCAAAGGAATCAACGGTGGAAATATACACAAGATACATATCTAAATTAGAAAACTACTATTAATCAGCCTGAATTATTGGCAGTAATACTCACTAGAATGGTAATCCATACGCTAGAATACTGATGTTTATTAATATTTCCGAACCATTGCTTATCTAGATATTTATGCATGCACTTAGTTGCTAGAAATTTGCGACCATTGCTCTCTTTGGCCAACTGCAGTGGACTGTAATAAAAATATTGTTTCGAAGTGGAAGTTAATATGGTAACAGCAAATTCTTCATCTTTCTCAAAACATTTGTTTATGATTCCTGCAGCATGATCATCGAATTCACTGCATAATACATGAAAACATTTGTCATATTTTAAACATGAAACTTATGAAAGACATTATTTATACCTCTCTTTGCTTTCGTATTCCGCTTTTTTTTCAGATTCATTGATGCTTCGCGCTGCTGTTTGATAGATTTTACACGCCAGCATAGCAGCCACAATTGTGTTCTACAACATAAAGTTTTGATTGACCAAATAAAACGTAATAATATTTCGTAACAATTATTTTCTGCACGCACCTCAGATCGTGAACACAGGCAGGTTGCTAAATTTGAACGATTAACAAACAAAGACCACAGAAATAAATCACGTATAAATCCTAAAACATTAGAGATTTAATACGATAGTGTATATTTTTTTAAACTGCGCTGCTTTTGTATGCAAACCTGTTGCTGGAGTTATTTTGAAACAGAACGCTAAGCCGTAGATTGCTTGTCGAACAAATAGTGTTGGCCTACCTGAGTCTAGTCCAGCATCAACTGCATGAAAATCAATATAGTATGAATCGCTGCCTTTCACTTGAAATGGTCGCGAAATGGTATTACGAAATCCAATCGCCAGGTATTGACCTGTCTGTAGAAAAAGTGTAGGCTCTTGAATTATTAATGTTCGGATATCATTCTCAACAATGATTTTTGTAATTTGCAGATATTGCTTTGCGCGTCGATAGATAATCAAAAATTTATTTTTATCATTTGTTGATGACAATATGTAAAGGACGATCTCTGGCAAGGACTCAGACGCTGCTAAATTTGCAAAATTAATCGACAATTCTGTGACATGTCCACTTTCGCGGATGATATCATTTGCATTGAAAAATACCATTCCATGTAAAAACGAATCTTCCTTGCGTGGATGACTTATAATACCATAGTTGTCTATAATTAATACACAATAGATAAAAGACGGACATGAATATCGAGCAATATATACTATAAAGCTGCCTACCTGTAGCAGCAGTATGTTCCTGCAACACAATAAACGAAAAATATATCCTAATGTTGTGTTCCTTTACATCACCTACTACTCGTTAGTAGGGGTGGACCATTAACATTAATTTAATATTAATGGTTAATGAGAAACATTAACATTAATTTTAAAATTAATGTTTTCATTAATCATTAATATTAATGTCAATGTTCTAGAATGATATTAACGGTTAACGGAAACATTCACTATTAGTATTAATAGTAATGTTTTCGTTAATATTAGGGATTATATTTTCATTAATCATTAATATTAATGTTAATGTTTTCATGAAGACATTAATTTTTCCATATTAGTGAATTAGGCTTTTCTAAGGAAACATTATCTACTATTATTAATCAATTAACTGGTCTTAATAGTTAATGTTTTCTCCGAAAGTATTAGCTACTTAACCCTTTCGATCCCGTATGGCATCTTTAGATGCCATACAGAACGAAAAAGAAATTTTTTTCGTTCTTTCGTCTTGTTAGCCATCGAGGATCATATGATATATTCAAAGGAAAATCGCTTCGCGTGGCTATGCAGAATGCATTTATATCTTGAACACATATGTTTTAGATAGCTGAACGCAAGAGAGAGAAATTCAACTATCTTTTTTCGTGTTTCTACAGAACGCAAGAAAATGTCGGGATTGAAGGGGTTAATATGGAAAGTTACAATGCTTTCATCAAAACATTAACCATTAATATTAAGTCATTAATTTTAATGAAAACATTAACATTAATATTAATGATTAATGAAAATATAATCCCTAATATTAACGAAAACATTACTATTAATACTAATAGTGAATGTTTCCGTTAACCGTTAATGTCATTCTAGAACATTGACATTAATATTAATGATTAATGAAAACATTAATTTTAAAATTAATGTTAATGTTTTTCATTAATCATTAATATTAATGAATTAAGTTTTTCTCAGAAAACATTAACCATTAATATTAATGTCTAATGGAAATCATTAATTAATGTCATTAATTAAGTTCCGTTAAAAAAAATGGTCCACCCCTACTCGTTAGTATACTTTTTTTTCGCCTACCGGATGTGGTTCCGAATCTTCGTTCAGATAGTACTTGTAGTATTTTGAATAACAATTTGACTTAACATCTGTGTTTGAAGATAGATTATAAAATTTTCTTAATCATCCAGCAAAACAAAACTAGAAATACTACTTCCAGGTGTATGGTTTGAAGGCTGTACTTGTTGTGTTATATCAGGTAAATGCAGAGAACTTCCAGAACTATTATCGTTCTAGATGAGGAAAATGCAAAAAAGGTTTATAATAAATAGCAATTAAGGCAATGCATACCAGATCCTTGTACAGATCACTTGTGTTGATCAGTCTTCGTAATCTTTCAAACGAGGCTCCATATCCGATGAGTAGTTCAACAAAATTTACCGAATTTCTTCGTAAGGCTTCCCATAATGGCTCATCTAAGTGTAACTCCTGAAAGAATAAACAGCTCTATGAGTGTCTCAGTTGAAAAAACAGCATTTTATCCGCACGATAAAGGCGTGGCACATGATAGATCCATTTCTTCTTATAATGTAAGTTCTATCTTGAGGATGTGGGCGTGGGTGTGTAGCAAATTGACACTCACATTCACCCTGGTCGAACAAGCATCGCAGTTTGCGAGCGTGTATAGACTCTGTAAATCTGAACCTAGGTTGGCGTCTATATGTGGATATAGATGTTGATAGGGTAGTAAGAAGTAGACCTACAACAAAGTGTACTCGCAGTTATCCATAACTTCATCCAAGTCACTTATGCGAATATGAAACAAATTATTTTTATGCAAATTCAGGGAGATTCATAGGAAGCAATACTTTCTAAAGACTAAATTGTCATACTTTGGGTTAAATCTATTGCTAAAAGGCTGAAATCGTAGCATACGAACCTCTTTCTATCAAATTTCTATCAAAAATAATGAGAAATTTACTTTAATAAGTATATTTTTACGGAGATCGATCTTATACGTACATATTGCTCTATAACTTTGAATGGGATTCTGTTTAAGCTAGACGTGGAATTATCAGGAGAAGCTTCCAAGCGTAACAATAACTTTGACAAGACTTCTTCTCAATATTCTTACCTAAATTTCAGCTATATTTATAGAGAAAATAACTTTGAGAAGAATTCATGTAAAATGTCAGATACTTTGAAATGATTCCATCCCTAGTCGAACATCTTGTAAGTACGATCTTGGCTACATATAAATGAACAGATCTTGAAAATTTAGGAACAAGATAATACGATTATCTCTTACTAAGATCTCATTACAGATCTTAGGTAAGAATCTATAAGATCTTGGATGACGCATTCTGAAAGCATGATTCTAAATTACTATGCAGTGCAGTTTTTACTTTTTTTTTGTAAAATCATGTTTTAATATTTTTGCAATTTATTTTCATTATCCCTGTGCCGAACAACTCAAGCAAGTCAGATGTTGGGATCCGACTGGCTTTAAGTTGGTTCGATCTCCGTCAGACCAGTTTAGGGTAATTCTCTTTCGATCATCAATCGACATCAGCGTTCTCTTGAATAATAGATGGTCGAGATACAGTTTAGAATAAGTTATTTTGAAAGTATATGTTTCGTATGTTCAAGCATGTTGTTTATATAGCAGCTGTGTATGTATAAAAACCGGTGAACGACTAGAGAGCATGTTTGAATACACTAATGATGTCCCTTTCTGTTTTACTCAAGTTCTTGTGAGAAGATAATAGTAAACGATATTTTGTCCATGATCTTACCAGGATATTAGGTACAGATATATCTGATACGACCAAGATAAGAAAAGCAGAATTATCTTGATAAGATCTTACTTAACGATCCCAAGATTTCAAGATCTTACTTAACGGGGGGTGGGTGTGGGTGTGGGTGGGTGGATG